ACCTGCAACCTTTTCCGTCGCCGCCTCCGCACCATCCAGCTTAAACCGAAACTCGTGGAAAAGTCTTCGAAGTGGACATTCTTCTTGGTTTCGTCTCTGTTGAGTGATCTCTGGGACTACCCCGGCGAGACAGAGGACCAAGGTCGTGAACTCTGCTATATTTCTGGTCTTTCCAATTTTATTTTTTCAAAGTTGATAATGGATGAATGCCAGACTGGTGCTGCATATTCACACATTGGTCGAAGGAAAGTCGTCATTTTTCTTAGCCGATCTTATCTCTTGTCTATTTTTTAGCTAAGTACTTTGTTGCATCGATGTTTCTTGTGTAGGCTTTTTGTCTTGCCAGGATAAGGTCTTTGATCCTGTTGGTAACCCATGGTTTATCTTGATGGTGAGTGGATGTTCTTTTTAAGGCGAAGCAGTTGTCAACTTGATTCCAGACTGATGTAGAGAATAGTTGGCATTTAGTGTTCGGGTCGGGGGCGTTGAGACCGTCGGCCCAGTCATGATGAGTAATCCATGATCCGAACTCGCCAATTTTAGAATCAGGGAATCTACGCATAAGTTTTGTTCCTTTTAGTTGCGTGGGTGCCTGGTATTTCTTTGGTACCCAGAGAAGCGACAAGTGATCATTATTGCCTAAAGGGGGCAGGGAAGTTGGACTTTCATAAAAGTGCTCTTTATTTGTTATGATTTTGCCCAAGGTATTTCTCCCACGCGTGGCGAAGGACAAGAATTACAAAGAAGGGATGTCCGTAATTTGCCTGGAGGATGAAAACATTTTCTAATATGTGTTCTCTGAGGGTTACTTCGGTAGGTGCCCTCGGGGGAAAATATATCCCGCAGATTACATGCACACTGATTTCGCGAGGCAGCCATGTGGGTCTAACAGCGAGCCATAATGTTTCAAGGTCGTCACTTGTTGCACAGAAGGATTTTATAGTGTTGCAAGGGATGGTATCACTGATGTAAATACCAACGCCTCCCCCTTTTCTGCCCTCACGAATTTTGCTAAATAAGTGGTACCCCTTTATGGTTCCGAGGTTCAATGCATCGTCCTTGAACCATGTTTCTGTGATTACTGCAATATCGATAGCATCTTGTTTCATTATGACGTCAAATTCTCCCACTTTGTAAGGCAGCAAGCATTTTTAAGGTAAATGCTAGGGAGTGTTCTGCGGGGTCTAACTGGCGTTATTGTTGACGAGTCATTTTGGTCAAACATCCCGCTCGGGTTGCGAGGTTTTGCATTTGTTTCTATTTAAAAAGACTCACGGGGCTGGGGAAGGAATCTGACTTCAGAAATTCATTAGTTACGAGTGCCTTGCCTTTAATGCTGCGTTCGGAACTGCTCGTCTTGCTCGTCCAGACAACTTGTCCAGGACCAGCAGGACAAGTGGCCGCGTTCGGAACCTCCAAGACCCTCTCTGCCCAGAATGCAACCGGCTCGAATGCAAACATTCACTTTTTTATCATACCGGTGTCTTTAATTTACACGCTGCATAGGTTTGTAACTCCCTTGATGTATATTTAACTTACCTGCAACTGACAAACACAAAAATATCCTTTGATAACACCAATTAAGGGTCATAAAATTACCCACCAATATCTTGTGGTTACCTGCAACTGTCAATGTTTACATACAAAATCTATTGTGACGTTATCTCGTCCTGCTCGCCCACCTTCGCAGGAGGGCGAGTTGGACGAGCTGGACTACTTGTCCGGCACGAGATGGTGGAGGTTCCGAACGGTCAAAACATCTCGTCCAACTGGTCTGAACGAGATAGACGAGCAGTTACGAACGCACCATAAGTGAAGAAGTGAAGCTGGCATAATATGAATGACATTTTTGTTTTAAATGCATTCCTCAGGGAAGGTAACGAGTAGATGATTCTCGATATCTGCTTCTCCTATGTCTGTATGACAGTTTGTTATATAAAGGTACAACACCTCTGGTTTCGTTGCCCCGTGTAAGGGTTTAGCGTTAGATCTTTGTTCTCTTTTGCTTTCTTTTTTCTTTTTTCTTCGAGTGTAAACCCATCCGCATCCACATTGTTTGAATTAGATGGGTGTGTGTAAATATACATTTATATGTATACATACATGTACACACACGCACATATATGTGTGTAAATACATACACATATATAATATATATATATATATATATATATATATAATATATATATGTAATATGAACATACGAATATATATACATATGAATTTATAAGTATACATACATATATATATAATATATATATATAATAATATATATGTGTGTGTGTGTGTGTGTGTGTGTGTGTGTGTGTGTGTGTGTGTGTGTGTGTATATACATATATAAACACATGTATATATACATATATATGTAAATATATTTGTATGTGTGTATGCATATATATATATATATATATATATATATATATATATATATATATATATATGTATATGTATGTATATGTGTATACATGCGTGTGTGTATGTACATACATATCTATCTATCTATCTATCTATTATCTATATATAATATATATATATATACATACACGTGTGTGTGTGTGTGTGTGTGTGTGTGTGTGTGTGTGTGTGTGTGTGTGTGTGTGTGTGTGTGTGCATACACGTGTGTATATATATATATTATATATACCAGTACCACACACACACACACACACACACACACACACACACACACACACACAGCACACACATACATACATACATACACAGACATACACATACACACAGACATGCATATATACATGTGTGTGTGAATATACATATGTATGTATACATAAATGCGTGATACACACACACTCACACATATGTGTGTGTGCATCCATATATACATACGTTATGTATATAAACATGTATATATACAAATATGTATACACATGTATAGAATATACCTGTTGCACACACACACACACACACACACATATATATATATATATATATATATATATATATATATATATTAATATGCATACATGTACAATTAGAATCACACACACGCGCATATAAACAGATATGCAAATTTATGCAACGAGAACACGTATGCAACGAGACAGCATGCAACCCTTTCCGTCGCCGCCTCTGCTTCATCCGAATTAGACCCGCATTTCGTGGAAAAGTCGTCGAAGGGACATTTTCTCCCTTGTTTCATCGATGAGCGACCTTCGGGACTCCGACAGAGGACCAAGCTCGTGAACTCTGCTTTATAAAGTCGGGTCCGAGCTGAATGAAACCTCTTCTCTCTCTCTCTCTCTCCCTTTCCCCCTCCCTCTCTTCTCCCACCCTCCAACCACCCCTCCCATCCCACCACTCCCTACCCTCGTTCCACCTCCCCCTCCTACCTCCCCACCTCTCTTCCACCTTCCCAAGCAGAATTTCTTTTGTGAAAACTTAAACTGTATGAATATGTTTCTTCGTGTGCATACATACTATATATACATATATATATATATATATATATATATATATATATATAATATATATATATATATATGTGTGTGTGTGTTGTGTATAATATATACATATAACATATATATGTACATATATATGTATATGTATAAATATATATATGCATGTGTATATATATATATGTATATATACACATATGTATATATATATATGCATACATACACACACACACACATATATGTGTATATATACATATATATATATATATATATATATATATATATGTGTGTGTGTGTGTGTGTGTGTGTGTGTGTGTGTGTGTGTGTGTGTGTGTGTGTGTGTGTGTATGCACACGAAGAAACATATTCATACAGTTTAAGTTTTCACAAAAGAAATTCTGCTTGGGGAAGGTGGAAGAGAGGGGGGGGAGGTAGGAGGGGGAGGTGGAACGAGGGTAGGGAGTGGTGGGATGGGAGGGGTGGTTGGAGGGTGGAGAAGAGAGGGAAAGGGGAAGAGGGGGGGGAGAGAGAGAGAGAGAGAGACAGTGAGTGAGAGTGAGAGTAAGAGAGAGATAGAGATAGAGGATTGGGAGAAAGTTTAAATTGATACCATCAGAATTCTTAAACTCTTAAGCGAATGTTCCACTTCAAATAGAGTAATTCGAACTATAGATTAATTAGTTTATCTATATATTTTTTTTTCTTTTTTATTAACCTGTCTCATTCTCAACGAAGCTCAAAGAAATCGTTATCCTCATTTATTTAACGCAATACATTTTGAAAAAGAATGGTTCATATATAAACAGTAAAACTAACTATAATAATTCTTTGATTATTGATAATAACATCATTGATTAATTCAGTAAACAATAACCTTGAACATCCTATTCACAAATAACCATATTCATTCATTCATTAACTACCTTGAACACGTGTGTGTGTATAGGTATATGCATATATATGTATATGTGCATATATATACATATATATATATATATATATATATATATATATATATATATATATATGTCACACACATATATGTGTGTGCATGTATGTATGCATATGTACGTATATTTCCACAGACACACCAACATATATACATGTACATATATATATACATGCATATATATGTATGTGTTTGTGTTTTTGTGTGTGTTTGTGTATGTGCGTGTGTAGGAATGTGTATATACTGGTATTTTTATACATGTTTATATATATACATATGGATACACACACACATACACACACACACACACACACACACACACACACACACACACACATAATATATATATATATATATATATATATATATATATACATATATGCATGCCTAACTATACGTAGAGTCACGCACACGCGCATATAAATAAACATGCAAGTTTATGCAACGAGAACACGTATTCAAAGTTGACACAACATGCAGCCATTTCCGTCGCCGCCTCCGCAACAGCTTAGAACTGCATCGCTTGGAAAAGTCTTCGAAGGAGACATGTTTTTTCCGGGACTACCCCGGTGAGACAGAGGACCAAGGTCGTGAACTCTGCTATATAAAGTCGAGTCCGTGCTGAACCTGGGTACCAGTTGCAACGACCCCTTCTCTGGAGCAACCAAGTCTCAACACTCATCATGAAGTTGGTACGTGTTAAGTTTTCATAGATTTTTAGCTTAGGTTGTAATATTGCTTTCTGAGTTGGTCGATAATTGTTGTTTTGTTATAGATTGGTGTTTAAGTATGCTTTTAGTTTGCAATAGAATCATTTGTATATGTTCTGATACTGTCGATATGGTCAGGTTAATTCATAAATTGTATATATTGTCGTGCAGATAAAAGTTACTGGAACAAAGTTAAGATAGAGTTAAGAGTGATAGACAAATCTCTCTTTTTTTAATGGTGATCCATCGTTTTGCTCTAGCGACATAAGGGTACGATGATCACCACAAGTGACGACTTTAACACCTCTAAACTTTAAACTGAATATATTAAACGCTCCCTTTCATTAAACGTTTCAATATTCTAAAATACCCGATGAAGATTATTCAAAACCGGACCACCAATATCCAACCAAGACATGAAACGCACATTTTCATTCACAATTCCATCTCCCTCACAGCTTAGTCTCGCACTGGCTCTCCTGCTGGTGTTGTCTGGCGTCCTGTCGCCCAGCCAAGCCATGCCGGGCGCCCTGGCTGACCCGAATCCCGAAGCAGAAGCAGCAGCCGACCCTGATCCGTTCTTCTTCAAAAAGAAGAAGTATGGCTACGGCGGCTATGGTTATGGCGGCTATGGCTATGGCGGTTATGGCCATGGCGGATATGGCGGTTATGGCCATGGCGGTTATGGCCACGGCGGATATGGCGGTTATGGCGGTTACGGGTTGGCGGGGGCGGCGGCGTTAAGGAAAATAAGAAAAGTTTATCAAACTTTTTTTTTGCTTTGGCAAGCTTCACCTTGGTAAATTGTATGCTCTGTGCTTGTCTGTATGTTAATTAGCTGATACATATGTACACATATCCTCACATAAACGTATATACAATTCAGAGACTAGAGGTAAAACAGTTTTTCTAATCCCTAATAAAATCATAAAACCAGGCAGAGGGGAAAAAGAAAAAAAAAAAATATTCACAGGTCAAGTCACTACATTTTGTATGACCTCCATAAAAAATATATATATACAACAAAACAATCCCATTTCTTGGTAAACTCTTTATACAAAAGTTCAGATGCTTGACTTTTTCAATAAAAAAAAAAAAACATTAACCACATGTCGAGAAATACAAGTTCTCGTAGCCTCGTCCTCTTTCTCTCTTTCCTTCTTTTTCCTCTTTTCCTTTCTTTCTTCTTCCTCTTTGTACGCCCTTTACTTACACTTCGATCATTACTATTCCGCGTGCGATCATGATTCTCTCCTTTGCAAATTGCCGCCCGATGGAGAAGTAGAGATCGCTTCTAACAACAAACAGACGGGGATTTTCTTGCACTCGTGATTCATGTGCGGGGAATAAAAGCGTGGATGGTTGTCTCACGTGTTCAAGGTAGTTAATGAATGAATGATTATGGTTATTTGTGAATAGGATGTTCAAGGTTATTATTTACTGAATGAATCAATGTTATCAATAATCAAGGAATTATTGTTGTTAGTTTTACTGTTTATATATGAACCATTCTTTTTAAAAATGTATTGCGTTAAATGAATGAGGATAACGATTTCGTTGAGAATTAGGTCAATAAAAGAATAAATAAATATATATATATATGCATATATAAACTAATTAATCAATAGTTCAAATTAATGTATTTCAAGTGAAACATTCGTTTAAGAGCATATAATTCTGAAGGTATCAGTTTAAACTTTCTCCCAATCCTCTATCTCTATCTCTCTCTTACTCTCACATTCACACTCTCTCTCTCTCTGTGTGTCTCTCTCCCTCTCTCTCTCTCCCTTTCCCTCTCTTCTCCCACCCTCCAACCACCCCTCCCATCCCACCACTCCCTACCCTCGTTCCACCTCCCCCTCCTACCTCCCCCACCTCTCTTCCACCTTCCCCAAGCAGATTTTCTTTTGTGAAAACTTAAACTGTATGAATATATGTTTGTTTCTTCGTGTGCATACATACATACATATATATACATATATATATATATATATATATTATATATATATATATATATATATATATATGTGTGTGTGTGTGTGTGTGTGTGTGTGTGTGTGTGTGTGTGTGTGTGTGTGTGTATATAATATATATACATATATGTGTGTGTGTACATACATATATATATACACATGCATATATATATACATATACATATATATGTACATATGTATGTGTGTGTAGGTATATGCATATATATGTATATGTGTGCATACATATACATACATATATAAATATATATATATATATATATATATATATATATATATATATGTCACACACATATATATGTCTGTGCATTTATGTATACATATGTATGCATATTCCCACACACACACAAACATATACATATACATATATATATGCATATATATGCATGTGTTTGTGTTTGTGTGTGTGTTTGTGTATGTGCGTGTGTAGGAATGTGTGTATACTGGTATATTGATATACATGTTTGTGTGTGTATATATATACATATGAATATGTATATATATATATATATACATATATATATATATATATATATATATATATATATATACGCTTGTTTGTGTGTGTGTGTGTGTGTACGTATGTATGTATGTATATGCATGCCTATACAAGTAGAGTCATGCACACGCGCATATAAACAAATATACAAGTTTATGCAACGAGAACACGTATTCAAAGTTGACACAACATGCAGCCATTTCCGTCGCCGCCTCCGCACCAGCATTGAACTTCATCGCTTGGAAAAGTCTTCGAAGGGGACATGTTCTTCCTGGTTTCGTCATTGCTGAGCGACCCTCGGGACTACGCCGGCGAGACAGAGGACCAAGGTCGTGAACTCTGCTATATAAAGTCGAGTCCGTGCTGAACCTGGGTATCAGTTGCAACGACCCCTTCTCTGGAGCAACGAAGTCTCAACACTCATCATGAAGTTGGTACGTGTTAAGTTTTCATAGATTTCTAGGTTTGGTTGTAATATTGCTTTCTGAGTTGGTCGATAATTGTTGTTTTGTTATAGATTGGTGTTTAAGTATGCTTTTAGTTTGCAATAGAATCATTTGATTATGTTCTGATACTGTCGATATGGTCAGGTTAATTCATAAATTGTATATATTGTCGTGCAGATAAAAGTTACTGGAACAAAGTTAAGATAGAGTTAAGAGTGATAGACAAATCTCTTTTTTTTTAATGGTGATCCATCGTTTTGCTCTAGCGACATAAGGGTACGATGATCACCACAAGTGACGACTTTAACACCTCTAAACTTTAAACTGAATATATTAAACGCTCCCTTTCATTAAACGTTTCAATATTCTAAAATACCCGATGAAGATTATTCAAAACCGGACCACCAATATCCAACCAAGACATGAAACGCACATTTTCATTCACAATTCCATCTCC